ACTGTGTGCTATCAGCGAAGGCCAAGGCTTCGGTCCGAGGAAAGTTCAAGCAGGGAAATCTGCCATTTCGGGAGTCATTGACTGAGTCATTCACTGATACATGAGCTCAAGATATTTAGAAACCAGGTGGCATTGAAAACGCAGTAACATCAGTTTCATGCTTATGCTTTCTTATGCGTTTGCATTTTGCCACTGATGAAAGATTCGAAACCTGAAAAGTCAGGATCACAGTGCCACACATTGGTTGACCAGGCTTTAGAAAGAGCTTTTGAGTTGTAAATAATTTGCTGGTCACTGATGGTATCCCGTCAGGTTAAACGGAAGATAGCTTGCCGAACGGTCTCATATGCCATTGATGGAAGTCGAGCAGGCCGATCGCATATCTTGAGACGATTCTTCGACACGAATATGGATCGATGAATAAGGCTGCGCTCATCAAGTGTGATGCGTGTTTAGATGAATAAAAAGCACCGATTCAGGCTATGAATAGGATTCTGGTTTATCCCAAGTGCAAGAGCAAGCCTACACGCGCATTTCATATCGATTTGCAACCGCCGCTCAATATACATAAATCGGTTTGAACTACGCATAAATGATATGCTCATGAACTTTCCGCAGCAATCCAGCGCGTTTCCCTAAAACACAACATTAATAAAACACCGACACATCAAGGAAATCCCTGAGCGCATCTACGTTTTATGAAAGCATGGGACTCAATTGTAGTAAAGCGCGAAAGCCCCTCAGGTTACGTTTATCACGCGTACTCGTGAGAAAAAAAAAATGGTGAAAGTAGCAACTATGCGACAGTTATCTTCGCGGGTTGCGCCGAGAAGGATTTGACACTTCCACAAGCCGTATGGGATATCGCTGCTCAAATGGCATACTATATGCTAAAAATAAATTTTGTTTTGACTTTGGAATGACTTCAATCCTAATTCCTAACCTTGAGTAGTTGGTGAATCGTTGAAAAGCTTGAATGCCACGCTATGCATGACTTGCTACGAATCATATCGTGGACCAACACCCGATCTTCCCGCGTCCGGTAAACCAATATATATAATTTAAGCAGGCGAGCGTGTAGCGTATTGCAGGTAGATATTCAACAGCTCATTCAACAGCTGCCAGTGGTTTTATAGAGACTAGGTACACAGACCACACGAGGTGCTTCTTTCCGGCCTCGCACTTGCTTTTCCTATGCGGACCGCTTGTTCATATAACTCATGGAAAGCAAACGAAAGAAAGAAATAAGAATGCACATACGCACCTGGAAAATGTTCTTACTTTCAAGTTTCAGTCGCCTTATGTCAGCCGTATAACTAGCCAGTCACAAGACGGATCAATTCCGTCAGACGTTCCATAGTTTCCCAAAGTGGGTCGACTGAGCGATACAGTAGCAGCGGAGTTCCTAAAAATAGCGCGTCTAAATTTAGCCTCCACGCTACGTCGCGGCTTCAAACGGGGGTGATTGGGCTCACAGAAATAGACCTCAAGATTTAAGAGACCGTGCTGTTAGGGCTATATCCGTCGTGCCCTAACCAGAATAGTATTCAAACAATATTCTTTGAGAAGCTTTCACATCCATCCTGTGAGAACTAGTCAGGTATGTGTAGTAACTAACCAGACATAAGATGGTGGTGCACCACGAATGAATCCGATATCCCAGCAACTGTATGATATATGTGCTACAACAGGCTTCAATAGCAACTGTACAACGAACTTCAACGGGACGTCAACATGAACACAAACTTTTTTGCAACCTTATGACACATCTTATCCACATTTCCATTTCAGAACAAAGTCACTCAAGGTCAGGTCACCAGGTCACTTTAAGTTATCCCTTGAAGAAAAGTAAAATGTCTGCCATGACGGCCATAGCTACACGGACTTTGTAGGCCACCTGGCCTGCAGTTTTCGTTCCCATCCAGCAGTGCGTAGATCAATCGGGATTTTGGTATCGGATGCCATCCCAGTGGGCATCCGGGCGCATCTTAAACAGGCCCAAAGAAGGAGCAAGGAAGGCCTCAGAGGAGAGAGAGTTCTACATAGTTGCTTACTTCTGACCCTCAATTGTGCTTGTTCCTTGCTCAACTTTCATGGGTATCGTCAAACTCTTGTTCTCCGGTCCCGACTTGGAGTGCAAAAGTCATCTTGGCGCACTCTATCTCTCCTTGTAGCACCCGATGTCTTGGTCGTGTCTCCGTGCCGTCGTATGTAGTAGAGAGGGGCAGCCGTTCTGTTCTGTGTTTGGACAGCCGTTCTGTGTATGGCCTATGCCTCATGTCCTGATTTCCTCCTTTTTGATGCAAGTTTCATTGTACGCCTTTGCACCCTCTCGATTGCCCTTTGGTCCACCTTGGAGAAGGGGCCCCACCCAAATGCAGCAGCCGTACTCGAGATGGGGCCTGACGAGAGACTTGAATAGCAGGAGAGTTTCACAGTTGATGGCTTGGAATGACTTGCGTATCAAAGTCAGTAGGTACTTGTGATGCCTTTGCTGCCGCACTTGTTGCCTGTTTTCTGAAGTTCAGCTTCAGGTCATTGTCTTTGTGCAGTCAGCAGTGTGCACCCTAAGGTCTCGTTCCGATTCTGCCTCGCCGAATTGAAGGCCGTTGAGTATGTAGGACCAGGTGCACCGTGGGTTGCAGCTGCCAATGTCGAGAACAGTGCACTTGTCTTCATTAAATGGTAGCTCCAGATTTTGGACCACTCTGTGATGGCATCCAGATCGCACTGTAGAAGAAGTCTTCTGTCCTGAGTGGTTTGCACCCTCCTGTACGCCTTGGTGTCATCAGCGAATGTCTTTATCGAGCAATCAACATTTTCATCATTACAATTTAATATTTTCTAGTGATGTTCTTGCTCTTCTTCAAAAACTATGCACCACTTACTAAAAGAACATCAAAATCGGGAAAATGACTTTAGGTGACATCAGTGATCTGGTGATGTAAAAGTGGATCAAAGTGACTTTAAAAACAGCAAAACTGTCTTCATTATCACTTACAGTCACCTGAAAGCCTCATACAACTACTCACTGTGTGGACTATGAACCAGATCAGAGCAAAGCAATGAGCATAAAAATGGCTCCAGTCTCACTGTGCTACTATTGGACTATTATTACCAAACAAAAACGTGAATAGAAAGAACACATCCTTCTAAGGTTGTTAAGTGACACCACACATTGGTATTTATGATACTTTTTATGCAAGGTATCATATTTAGGTTACACCCAATCACATGTTGACTGTTGAGTCATGTAAAGTAAGGTTAGTTAGTTTTTTGAAAACCAATGTTACACCAATTTGTTGCCAGCATGACATATATTACCATGAACTAAAATGCAATTGTCTGCTGTGCCCCACACAGACAGTTGTATGCTCAGACACAGCCACCATCCAATGCCTTCCATCAGATACAGATACTGAGCACCAATGCAATTGCAGACTGACCCTGACCCAAGACCCAGCTTGCAGGTCTGGTCACCTCTGGGCGCTGGCAGCAAATGAGGTAACTACAGTAAGGTTAGGTCAATTAAGATTAGGTTTTGTTATTTCTGCTTGTAGTGTACCTGATTTATTTAGCACTAAATGATCATGTCAACAATTTTCTAGGCTGATATATGGTTTGTGAGAATTTGGAGTGGTTTTTATTGTTTTGAGCCTAGGGTGCAAAAGAGCCATTTCAACACGAATTGGATGGTAGGCGTCAGACCCCATGCAAAAAGTAAGGTATTCTTGGTGTGGGTACAAGCCACGGCTCTAACAACCCACTCGTTAAATCCCTGTTGACCCTGTTGATGTAAGAATCTTGAAACAGCATTCAATTCAAAACCCTGGCTCCCCAGTCCCCACCCTGGGCAGTATTCTGGTCTAAAAGTAAGTTCCTTGCCTCTAGATTCAGCCATCTGGGTTCGATTCCCGGGCAATGCATGTGGCATTGCCGCTGTCTGACCGCTTGGAACAGCGTAAGAGTTCCGGTTAGCACTTGGTCCACCTGATATGATGGTGCTTAACCCAAACCAACCAACCCAGTCCCCACCCTGGTTGCATAAACATTACATCCATCAACAACCATCAATCATTGGTAAGAAGCAAAGTTTATGGTCTATTGCACTTAAGCTTTATAATAATAAAACTAAAGATCATTATTTTGATCAGAACACCCAGTAACACAGCAAGCATGCTGATGATGTTGTCATTTGCAGCTTGAACTTGAACTATGGATCAAACATACCTTTAAAAGAATATCCTTTTATTGGCTGGGCGAAATCTAATCATATACTGTCCGAATATTAATATAAATATACCAAGCTATTATTCGTTATACACTATCTCGACCACTATCATCACACAACTCAATAAACCTTGCAATAAACTTGCAATGAACTACAAAACAAGTTGGAATGTACACAAATGATACGCAATGCTGCGTCCTTGAGACGAAACCGGATGTTTGATGTTTTTACTTTTGTAGATGCGATAACGACATTCGGGAAATTACCCGGAGGTTTATAGAGATATTTTCAGGCATTCTAGAGAAAAACTTCTCAGCTACGCGCTGATTTATTTTGGCATAGACTATTGAGGGGTCAGTCAGACCTGAGGGCTGATGGGCGATGGCTGAGGGTATTCAAATAACAAAGCTATTGGTTTATTCACCATATGAATATGAAGGTAAACATACTATCTACATTCCACATCAGTAAGATAACCAGCCGAAAATGGTTCCCGGCTCGCTTTTCACATCAATGCTTCCCGAAAAGGCCCATGCCAGTGTGTTTCATGGCCTATGAGCGTAAGAAGTGTCTTGTGAAGGATCTTATCAACCCAGCCCATTGCAAATGTTTAAAAAGGCGGCGCTGCTTAACCCTCGCCCGTTTCTTATAAACTCCCGAGTATCTCTAAGCAACGACTGCTACATACATACGTCCGTCTTGTTGAGCGCGGCGGTGGCGACAGCTTCGATGCACTGCTTTACTCAAAACTTGTTCAGAAAGAGCGCGCTGATTCGTGCACTCGTGTATTCGCCCTGGCCGGCAGCGCTGTACAAAATGCCGCCGAGCGGACTAAGTGTGGTCGTGTCAGGCAACGTGAGCTGTCTAACCCGGGAGCGCTGCTCCAACGCAGGATAACCAGATCAGCACTGCGCCAAGGAGCCGGCGAGAAATCATTACAGTGCCGCAAGCAGAGTGAATGTCAGATTATCGAGTCAAAGACGTCGGTTATTCATCCGTATGAGTACGGAACGAAAACGAAAAGTCTTTGCGTGTAACGAGTCAGAATATCAGATAGCCGCAAGAAATGGGACTCGGAAAAAGCGAGGCGCTTCTGCTCTCGGGCGGCGCAACAAAGCAAGCGCTGGGCAAGAAAAGTGAAAGAGAAGACGTGCGATCACGACTAGATCCCCACAGCTTAGGCCATCGCTCTCCGGCCGCTATTGTCGATTTGCATCTCCGAAATCCGCACCCAGTCACTTGATTACGAATCAGAATCACACACATACACACGAGGACGCTCGCGCTCAGCATCGCGCGCGGTCCGACGCATAGATAGACACAAAATCGCGAGTAAACATGTTCTGGCACCGGGCGGTAGTGGCGCAAGCGCTCTCGGTCCTGCAGATGCCGACGAGTCCAGGCGAACGCCGTCGCCGGCAGCTATATGATGCCAGTGTCGCTCGTGGCTACTGCGCGTAGCCAGAGGTAAAACCACCGCCACCTGGTGAAGAAGGCGAGCAGTTCCGCCTCGCAAACTACCGACAGATGGCAGTGCCAGCAGGCTCGGTTGCTGTCGTCTACCCCACATGGTGGTATCTTTGCTAGGTCGTGGTGGAGCTTATTGCAGAACGAGACCGATCTGGAAATAAACAACACATGGATTGAAAATTGTGCTCAGAAAAAAAAAAACTAGTTTGCCGTGCGATAAAATCAATGCGTCATAGGTGGCATGCAAATTAGCGGCAGCCACGCACACACATTTTCAGCAATAAATATCATCTACTACCACGGGTGGAACTTTGTGCGGAGCTGGGATGACCCGGGCGCAGTAAATCCGGCGCCGCCCTAGCGGTGACCTTGACCTCCGCGGTCTGTTGCGGCTCCAAAGCCAAGCCGGCGTCGAATTTGGAGAGCTCGGGCACTCCCAGCTCTGCACAAAGTTCCACCTATGTCTACTACGAAACGGATTCGACCAACGTCTTCCTCCTAATTCCTATCATCCTTCCGGCTCTGAAATGGTCTTATCAGACAGAAAGGGCCTATCCCAACAAAACAAACAAGCGGACTCGGGATTTCAATGCTAAAAATGTCACAGTACACAGGGATCATGTGGCTGCGAAATTAGCCAGCATACAAGCTGGGACTGGATACTGTTACCAACTATCGTCACGCCCTGAACACGGGAAGCAGAGCTTAACTGCAACTGAACTCTCAGCTAAACGGCTCAGCACAACACAAATCTGTTCGTCTCTGGCACGAGCTGTACGCGATTCCCGCCCCGCCCACCGTTTCCCGCCGTCCGCCCGTCCGCCTGACCTGTTTGGGCTCCATGCTGGGGCACTTCCAGTTGTAGAGGTAGTACTGCAGGTTGCCGTCGCCGATGCCGAACTTGAGCGGCTCCAGGAAAGACTTGTTCTCCATCAGGTCGAGCGCGTTGAACACATCGAAACCCTCCTGCAGAAGCGGGAGCATCGTGACCCATCAGTGGAAAACAGTGTAGTGGCGTTATTTTTCTACATACTAGTTAACAATGCTCTCACCACAACTATCAATTATCTCGCAAATAATCGCATCAGTTTCACACAATCATCTGAGCACAAGCAAAACATAGGCCAATATACCCCGAATTGTCTTTTTCGAAGCGCATAAACATCTGAGCGTGTCTCACATTCCACCAGTGACGTCACGCGTCCGGACGCAATCGACTCACGTTTTTGGCGGTGATGAGGGCGTCCCTCATGAGCTGCAGCAGCGGCGTGCTGCGGCCGACGTTATAGAACGAGTAGGCCGCCATCAGCTGTTTGTGCGTCGGGTGGTGCATGATGGTCGACGGCAGGCTGTAGAAACTCACAAAGTCTGTGACGGAGAGCGGCGGAAGCGCACGAGGTGTCAGTGACAGGCAGGGCAGGGTGGTTAGAATTGAGCCGCTGCAATATTTTGTGAATGACGAACTGTATCATGACGCAAATAATGGAAATGATTGTTCACTGTGTCTCATCGTCAACACGTCCCATCAATCAATCATTCTTCTAACCCACCGGTATTATTTCAGTCCTTTCTTTTCCACTGCGCATGCCCTTTCCGTCCTTTCGAACCCGCCGATAACTTCCGTCCTTCCCAACTCAACAGTGACCGTTCAGTCCTCTCAAACCACCGATAAATCCGTCCTTTCCCGGCTACTCACCGGTGACTTTGCCGTCCTTTTCGACGACGTAGCTGTCGACAATGGTGGGTCTCGGCGTGAACCAGTGTCGGAACTCCTCCTCGTCAAACGATGGCGCCAGGTCAAACTGGCCCAGGTACTGTGTGGAGCGAGGGAGGGGCGGCAGAGAAACGGCGTCAGTGCAACGGTGCTACTTCAGTTAAACTATACACAAAAAAAAAATATTCGACCAAAAATGTCACCCTAATGTTTAAATAAGTAGAAATAAGATTCAAAAGCTGATGGTAATTGCTGTTTTTTTATATCATCGCGTGTCCTCCGAATGCCCGTCCAATGGTCACACCTCAATTCACTACACCCCGCACAAACCCGCTCTCAAACTACCACATTCCGAGCCACTATCTTCCCTCCCTTCCCCTCTTCCTCCGCCGTCTCTCACGTCGTTCAGCAGTTTCATGGCGGCCGGCACGTCGGCCGGAGTCAGCCGCCGGAACCCCTCCGTCTCCGTCTCCGCCGGCAGACGGTGCAGCTTCAGCGTCCGCTGCATCGTCATGTTGCGGGACAGCTGGCTGAACTTGACCTCAATCAGCTTCTTGGGGTTCAGCGAGCGGTGCCAGTACCTGCAAGAGGAGGGCGGGGATGTCAGTTGATTATGAGATGCACTGAATACTTGCTGAAAGTAAATGCATGCAATCAACGAATGTAACAACGAAATAGATGGTTTGCGCATTTCTAACTCGCTCTTTCAATTTATAACTTGATAATTAGAAACTCACTCTGCTAACGTTGAATCATGAACCCTGACGAAGATGGAGTCAGAAACCGGCATAGCCATTCCCATACGTCATTTGATTAGCGTATCTAATGCCAAATCACAAACGGTGGCTAACTTTGCATAAGGCCACCATCCCAGACCGCCATTTTAGTGTACCGTTACGCCACCCACGTCGCTTTCTTACCTGCAAGTACCGACGGGTTTGGGCAGCACCACTCCGGCCGTGTACACCGCCTGGAAGATGCCGGTCCGGTTCACTCGGCGCGTGATCTCCTTGATGAGCACAGGCGCCACGCGCTTGGAGCGCAGCTTCTTGTGCACACAGAGGAAGTTCACCTCGACCATACGCTGCGTCCTGGAGAGGGGGAGACAGGGATACAGCGTGAAAGACTGAAATATAATGAAGAGGTGTAAAGCCCTCAGCAGACTGCGTGGTAGGTATTCTTTTTTGGACAAAACCGATAATAACTCAAAGGCTATGTTATCAGTCGGTCGGAACTCGCTGCAAATAGATGCGCCATGCTCCACTCCTTCGATCGGGTCTATCACTAAGCAAAGTATACGCCTTGTGTGGCAATAAAATGCAAAGTTTGTTTTGGGGGCAAATATAGACTTTTGGGTTTTGTTGCCAAACTGGATGGAAAATGAATACGATGATAATGTCAATCTAATGCCTGAAACAGACTAATCCCGCAGTCAGGAAATCGCATGCGAGAGCCTATTCAAATACATTGAAGCACGCTCGCATCAATCGCACGCACCTCCCGGATGCGATTGATGCGGGAAGAATTATAATGTATTTGAATAGGCTCTCGCATGCGATTTCCTGAACGCGGAAAGAGTCTGTTTCAGCCTTAAGGTACGGAGTCTCATGCGTCTTGCTGTTACGATTTCCGAGTGACCGATAGCATAGTATCCGCGTTTCTCGGTTTTGTTGAAAAAAGAATAATTACCACGCAGTTTGCAGAGGGTGTACAGTCACCAGCAGTTGCTACCCATCACCCCCGGACGGCGGGGGAGCAAGCTACCACCGCCCCTGCGAGACTAGCGCCGCCATGCGCCAAGGAGTGGAAACACCACGTGACTGAGGCCACGTGAGGGCAGGGTCACGTGATGGAGGGGCGGAGCATAGTAGCTTTTGCGCCCGACACTAACTGAAATCCGGCGCTGTGATTGGGCGCCTTAGCATGAATGAAGCCCCGGCGCCAGAATCAGCCGTTCGCCTTATATGGAAAGTGAGCCTTTGCGTTTCACTGTTCTGCATTGGTTTGAGAGCCACGGCACCATACGAATTGTGAGCCCCTTTGAACGGGTCACCGCCCGAGGCACTGAGGCGACGGCTGTGCCGGGCAAAGTCTAGCCTGGTGGGAGAGGTGGGCCAGGGAAAGTGCGATCGAGCAGCCACTGGGACGTGGATTGATATTATCCAACCGCGACAAACGATGTCAGCAGCCTCTTCTCGTGTCATGACAGTGTCTATGACACGAAAAGCTAGACAGACAACGTGGGCAGTGCCCAATCAAAAGCTACTAAACGATCCAGTTAAGAAGTTGGCGAGGTAGCCAGACCAAATAAAAAGTTTTTAATTCGATTTTGGTTGACAAATGACATATTACAAGCCCGCTGTGATGGACCAAAAAAAAAAGGGCTGAACAGTTCATACAACTTCTAAAAAGCTCAACGGCTTAAAAATTAAAAGTTAAATGTTAAAATTCAGCCTGCATGTTTAAACTCAGGTCCGGCGCTGGCAGGAAGCTTATATTGCCACTTGCAATTCCACTACGTTGTAATATAACCCAACAGTTCTGTGAGAGCAGCAACTGAAAGCCCCGTTGAGGGGGAGGGCGGCGCGAAACGGCCCCCCTCTCCTTTTCAGTCGATATCTCCTAAAGTATAGCAAATGTCGCCACCGAACTTTCAAGACCCCTCCGGGCATCACTTTTACACCTTGTGACCAAATTTTTCCAGAGCTCTTATGAAAGGTTAATCACAAATGACGTCACAGGGATGTCATGTTCTGTCATTTTCGACCGAACAAAAGGTTTAGCGGGAAGAGCTGTCACGCTTACAGTTTTGAAGATAACGAAAAATATCCAAGATAAAAAGATGTAAAATAAACTGCGCTACCAAACTGCTAACTCTTATTTCCAAACAAAAATTGATCTTGACCATCAAAACTATAGAAGTATAACACCCCGAAAATACCAACAACTTTCAAAATTAAAACTGCAATATATCTTATAGAACTATCTGCTCTATATATGCCAAACTTAAACTCGATAGCTCCATTTTTAGCAAAGCTATGGCAAAAAAACTACTCAAAATCTATTACGTAAAATTTTCAAATTCAATTTTTAGCCGTCACAGAACACACAGAGCAAGCCAAAGACCACCATTGGATTTCCTGTGATGAGCTGCATCGAATAGATACCCCCTTTATGCAAAATATCAACTTCGAAATTTGACCTTCTTTGACCTGACCTTGACCTGACCTCTACCAGAATGTAATATAAACTGGCTCCAATGGCTGTCTAGCCCACACCATTGAATTTTAAATGTGAAATTGGCATAAAACATGTATCACACGACCCTAGCATAGTTGGGTTCATATTGTGACCCTTAGTGACCTGACCTCTGTGAACTGACCTGGCATCAATGACCTCTTTAGGCAAATTAGACAACCAACGCTCCATCGATGTTTTTCGATAACATGCCTTTTATTTGATGTGTTCACTGACTGTAACGCATTCCTTAGACTAAATCGGTGAAAAAATGCGACCTTTGACCTGACTTGTGACGTCATGGGTTGCACCACGTCAACGAAACCTGGTAACAAGGTAGTTCCCTGGTGGGGTTATCGAACGCTCTTTGAATGTTCAAAATCGGTCGGTAACTTTCCGAGATCTCAGGTGGAAGGCGAAACGGCTGCACCACCCGATCAGGTGGTAGGGTCCGCCAATAGCCCAAAGGGGCGCGGATTATTTATTCACTCATATAGTGTCATTTATTGAGAACACCTTTCTCACGCCATGACATGGTTCTCTCGTAATAGAACGAGATGAGGAGAGTGTTTCCACGCCTCCTTATGCACGGCTCTAAGTGTCATTGAGCTATCAACTGTCAGCGGTTTTCGGACAATTTCTTAGTTCTTACTGAATCCAATTTTATTTCAAACGATTGTCACTGTGCTAGTTTTCTTCTTATACGTTTTTGAAAAAGCGCTGAAGAAGTCTTTGACAGACGAAACCGGTCCGCTTATTCTTTGTCTAATTGTTTTTGAATATATTCGTAGACTACTGGCTCTTTACAAAATTTGAGAATGTTTGGTATTACTTTGACCCGAACGATGTGCAGCTGAATTTTCCCTCTTGAATGATTATGGACAGCTCGCGAAATCAACTTCAACCTAAACTACCGACAAGCAGAAGAAAATCCGACACAAGCCTACCCCAATCCTCTCACCTTATTCAACCGTTGAAACGTTAAAGTCATTTGTTTAGTCCGAGTCGTTATGTCGACCACCCGCGCCGTGCTGGGGTTTTTACTGCCTTCCCCCTCAGGTTTTTCGCGAATATCTAAAAAAAACGGCGACGCCACGCGTAGCGTCATTGAAGGTCAGGTCACCAGGTAACGTCAAGTGACCTTACCTCAGAAAAAAAAATCGAAAGCTCGCTGTAGCTACACCGACTGAGCGATCACTTTAAAACTTTCAGTAATTGCTTAGGGTAACAGTATGTATAAAATGGATACCTCGGATTTTTTATGTCTGTGACCTAAAGTCAGGTCAATTTTGCGACTGCTCCATATTAGGTATAAGTCAATGGGAGAAAATTGAAATGCGCCTCTTTTGGACGAATTTCGTTCTACACCCTCTCAAACATCGGTCCATAGATAAACATGACACACTAAATCGGAAAATTGCACCTGTGACTCCTGTGTGTGCCCCTGAGGTCATTTTAGGACATAAAAGGTCTTCAGCATTTTTTGACTTTTGACAGAGACGTGCTAGAGCGGTGAACACACCGTTGATCTGAGGTCAAATTTGAGGTCAATCAGAGCGGTGCCCTCTGGGGGCTAAACCGTTGATCTGAGGTCAAATTTGAGGACATGTTGGCGAAAGAGCGTTAAAAGAGCTATCGAATGCGCTTTTCCGCGGCACTGTAGCTCTATTGGTTCCCGAGTTAGCCGTCCGGGTGTTCAAAATCGTTGAAATCTACAAAATTTGACTTTTGATGAACCCTGGTGACCTGACCTTTGCCCTGACCTTAAAATGATCAAGTGTTTTCCTCCTTATTTTTGACGCTATTTCGACTGCCGCTTACCGCGTGTCGCTACGTGGCCCAGGAGCCGAGTTAGACGGAGGGGCGTGAAACGCCCCCCCCCCCCCAGCACTCGACGGAAAGTTCATGCCACCAACACGGCGCGGGTTAATTGTTATGTTAGCTAGCTCCTGTTGTAAGCTGTGGAGTCGTGGACCTGATCTTGAAGGAACTGGGCCTAACATTTTCATAGCAAACGTAAAAAAAATGTTTAATAGGTTGTGCAAAAAATAGCATCTCTTTTATGAAACATTTGCGACATCTCCATCATCCCCAGACCCCATTAGTGCCGAGCTCCCAACGAGTCCGACGACCATAAAAGCATCCCCATCCCGTCATAGGTGGCGGAACGGGGAGGGCACCGGGGCACCGTGCCCCCTTTTGATTTTGGCATTTCAACATTAGCCCCATGAGCGTTGCATGGGAATAATAGGACCAAAAGTTGGCAGTGCCTCCCCTTTAATTGAAGGTGTTCCGCCGCTACTGCATCCCGTCAACGTGGGTTTATCATAAGGATGCTAAGATTTAATTTCCAATCCGAAGCTGTAATGATGGAAAGCAAATTTACATTTTACATGTGAAACAAGCTGACACAACTCAATATTTCCTCTCTCGCTCCCTCTCACTGATTCACCCATTGCCCTCTTTCTCATTTTACCCTCTCTGGTTTTCCTTTTCTGTCTCTCTTTTCTCTCCTCCCGTCCTTATCCCTTCCCTCCGTCTTTCTTAGCTCTCCTCTCTCTCTCTCTCTCTCTCTCTCTCTCTCTCTCTCGCTCTCTCTCTCGCTCTCTCTCGCTCTCTCTCTCGCTCTCTCTCTCGCTCTCTCTCGCTCTCTCTCTCGCTCTCTCTCTCTCTCTTGCTCTCCCTCTCTCGCTCTCCCTCTCTCGCTCTCCCTCTCTCGCTCTCCCTCTCTTTCTCTCTTTCTCTCTTTCTCTCTCTCCCTCTCTCTCCTCTCTCTTTCTCTCTCTCTCCCTCTCTCTCTCACTCCTTCTCCCTCTCTCTCTCTCTTTCCTCACAATATTCTCGACTGCCACAGCGTTGTAGGGCTTGTTTCCAGACAGGTCCAGGCGCTCCCCACTCCGCAGGCCCCAGCCCACACGGCCCAACAGCTCAAACACCCTCCGGCGGATGACCTCTGACCTCGGCGACCTGACCCCAGCCGACCGATCGCGTCCCTCTCCATGCCTCCGCCCCGCTTCCCCCACTACAGCTGCGTAGTAATTGTAGCGTGTGCAAAGGTCACATGACATTATTTACTTCTGCGGCTTGTTCGGCTGACAAGAGATGGCACTAGTGGTCTGTGGGTCAGAGGCGGGGCTAGGTTCTACGACTTCTTGGGGCACACTTTAGGGCAGAAGAGAGGTTTTTTGGCTCCCCATCCCAAAATGCTTCGAATATACAAAAACAAGCTAGATATTCGAAAATCGGAGGACCAAACGGATCGTTTGACGTATCTTGCGCGACTGAGAATTGATCGGTCTTCAAACTACTGAGCAAAAACGAGGTGATTAGTAGCAAGTGCTGGTGACTGTACTTTCTGTCAGGTAAATATCGCTTCCAAACGTTCAAAATAGCATACTTCAAACAAGGTTTATCCTAGTTAGTACGATTACCTTAGGACGACTCAAAATGTATCACCTTTCCATGCTTCTATCCTCAGGATACTGAAATCCTTCTCCTCCACGCCGCAACCCCCTTCCGGGCTGGACAGGCAACTTTATCTCATGCGGGCTGCTCCCTTGGAGCGGCACCGCTGCTCCTGAGGGAGCGCACCCGTAGCCGGGTACAGTGAGTGCCTTGGGGCTGGGTGGCCTGTCCTCTGAACGGGCTCAGCCCCGGCGACTCACTAGGGTGCCTGCCCAGACCAATGTCTCCCCCTAATTCCTATCATCCTTCCGGCTCTGCAATGGTCTTGTCGACCGAAAGGGCCTAACCCAACAAAACAAACAAACAAACAATCAAAATGTATCCGTTCAATAAAAATTGATATCTGAGACTCAGTGAAACAAAACCATATGACCACTCTGTCGTAGGTACCCACAACCAACTAGGTACTGACCGTTTGTAGATGTTGATGGTGGCTGGGATGGCGGAGATGAATCCCACCAGTTTGTTGGACTTTGTGACACGCACCCCGCAGAGCCAGTCGGTCACCCAGCCCGGTGGACGCAGCGCCCTGTGGAAGGGGGCAGGGGAGGGGTGGTCAGTCAGTGGGCGATCAGGCGGCAGAAACGGTGGTTACTGGTTAGTAGCCCAGCCCGGCGGACGCAGCGGCCTGTGGCGGGGGCAGGGTAGGTCATCAGGGAAAAGTATGGGCTCCTCTCCTAGTGACCCTCCTGGGTCACAGACTGTTTATGTGAAACAAATTCATAAAGGTAATGAAGTTTTGACACTTGGTATTTCATCAAATAAGTGGCGACTTTTTTCTGGTAAGACTCCAAAACAGGATGGGCAGATTTCCAGCTTTTTTTGCATGACATCAGGCCAGCTGCTTTCATCTTCCCGAGCAACGCCCCACGCTCACCAGTCGAGGAACTTTGGCGAGTAGTCGAACCGGAACATGTTGTCGTCATCCTCCACGTAGTTGTTGGTCAGCAGAGTGTACAGCTCGTTCAGCTGTCCAGAGGGCAACGGCGCCGTCAGCAACACTTAGGCAATGGCGCCGGATGGCCAAAGATCAACAACACAGTTAACACTAACGCAATGGTACCGACCAGATGTTCAAAGGTCATCTGCGCCAAAAGGATTAGATCTTGGGCATTGTTCACACATTTACCATACAACGTGTTACGCAAGTGCGTGGCCAAGAATGCGGAGTTAGTTTCATCACAATGATGTTTCAAAGTTCGTTCAGTCGACAATTAGAAACGGAATGGTGTAATGGCGTATGACCCAGTAAAATCGACGGATATCGTCATCGGCGTACGTCCTAGCACAAAATGCAACTCACAAGTACTAAGTGTCCCGCAACCTGATAAGGGAGTTGGGGTTAAAGGAAACAGTTCACTTTCCTGAAATTAGTATTTTGCTATGAATTTACGATTTTTTATGCTCAAAATGATCAGAAAATAAAATAAAACCTTTTTGTAAAAACAATTATTTTCTATATTTTAATATAGGACGAACTATATTCTATGTAAAATAATGTTTGACGCGGAAGCTTATTACGCGTTGACCAATCATATTGCGTAGTTCAAACCTACGCATGCTGCATTAGCTGTAAGCAGCATGCTGATTGGCTGACGATGACGTGGCTGCATTCCTGTGCAAGGCACACATTCCTCTGCAAGGCACTCTTTTCGGAACGAGAAATGGAATATCTTCGTCTAGGGTGATCGTTGAGCCGTAAAAGCTCCTGATTTGTGCTAGTCTCAGCTCAAGCTACGAAACTGCTATTCCAGTTCAAAATCCCATGTTAAAAGTGAACTATTTCCTTTAAATCGTTCGTTTGCTACCGATAAATAAATAAATAAAAACTCAGAAGCTTTAAACAAAGACGGAAAATATGTAGCATTTACGTAAACGGCCATCGCTGATCGCACACATAATTGTTTGAAGTCGTTGCCATCGTTGCATAATACGTATTACGACAAAAAGCACAACATTCTACTCAAGATTACTTAACCAATGATTGTACAGACGAAAAGTCCACCATTTCTGATAAATAACAACTTTTCAAGGTGTTCCATATTACAACGACGGTGTTATGTACAATCGCCAATCCCGGTGATTATTATCCCTCATGTTTGGTCCGAAAGATGCACCTGTGATGCACTTATGATTAAATGCATAATAATAATAATAATACTTTATTGGCCACAAATTTTTAGAGGTTCAACCAGATCCAGAATTACATATCCAGGAGCGCTCAATTTTGTAATATTGCCACCGATTTCCGACAGCATCCATCCTCACCTGCTCTGGATCGTCCAGGTTCATGGTGTCCCACTTGAAGCCATCAGGCAGCGAGTAGGGCTCGGCACGGACCTCAGAGACCTCCTTGTCACCTTCCAGGGGCTCATTACCCTCGGCATCTTGGTCTGTGGCCAGACAAGGGTTGGTGAACAGGGGAGCTCAGAGTGGTACTGGCAATTCACTCACATCAGAGGCATAACACAATAACACATCTGCCATTGAGGCAGCCCACAAAAATAGTGACATGCCATCAATGAGCCAAGACTGAGATGTAAAGAATAATGAATGTAGGCATAATTTTATAAGCCAGGCTCCAAAGCGTGGCAATTTTGACATCTTGTCAGCATCAGCTCAATCACTTGATGCAGATGTTCCATGAATCATGATGCACTGGGGATCTCATTTGATGTCATGCAGATTTTGCATGGGCCTACCCATGGTAGCCTGAACCAGTTGTGTAGCATATAACAGACAGAAGCTTCCAGAATGAAGCCCATCATTCTTTATCAACTTTAACCCTTTTATTCCTTTAAAAGTTCAAAAGATAATATCAGTTGGGCAAACTAGACCTTTGGAATCAAAATATGGAGGCATCAAAAGATTGATTCCTTTTGGGCATAAATGCAGACCATTTCTAACTTACCAATCACATAAAAATAAGAGAGTGTTTCAAGAAGGAGCATGCCTGATCTTGAACAGAAATGCTTGAACTATCTCCTAAGCAAAATAATATTGCTCCTATCATAACAATTTGAATTCTATAGGTAGTTAAAAGCAATCAAGGAATTAATTCACTTTTAACAGGTAATCATAATATTGATTCCCTATCAGCTGGCTAATCATTATTTTGATTCACAGGTAATGTTAACAGATAGGCAACAATGACTTGCAAGAATACAGCATTTATCTTTCTATTATTCTCATTTAGTGGTATCCTCAGCACCACAACTGATACCTATAGCATTGTTGTACTTAACCTTCACTACATTTGATAACAATTCACAATTTTTAAATGTCAAGAATACAAAAACTGAAGCAACAGGTAAAAACCATATAAATAATATAAAAGCACTACAACAATGATAATTAGGGGTTTAAAAATTTCATTTTGCCATTTTACACAAATACTGATTGGTTAGTATGTGATTCATGATACAAAAATAACATACAGTGTGATTTCCTCAAAACAGCTTTTACGTGATGGACAGTGGCTCTGTCTGTTTCCCATTCACAAGGCCAAAGGGACAATTTCTTAGCTTTGAGGTAACACTTTTTGCAAACCTACCACATTTTTCTACCTTTTAAAAGAAAAATCTCACCGTCATGGGCCTTTTTTCAACCGTAACGATTCATTTGAAGTCAAAAGTGTACCCAAATGAATCAAAAAATTGATTCCATGCCCATATTTGGTCATGGCTCCTCCCACCAGAATCAAATTATTGATGCCTCCATATTTTGATTCCAAAGGTCTAGTTTGCCCAACTGATATCCTTGTTCTGGTTCATAAGGTGTGTTTTAGACTTTATAGGTCAAATTTCCACCCTGGTCAATCTAAGAATTGAGAAAATGATAAGACAATTAATACTGCTCAGACAATGTCAAAAGATATCAACTCTTACCTATTTTAAGGACAGGCTGAGTCTCCCAGAACTGATACTTTTTCCGTTTGGCCTCGTCCTGGGTCTTGGCCGGCCCCTGGTGGAACTGTTCCCGGCCCTGGGTGACCGACAGCAGCTCCATTGCCTTCCGCAGGTTGTTCAGGTTCTTCATCTGATTTCCCTGACTGGCACTTACTACCGTGGTATCTTCGCTCTTCTCCTGAGCGGGAGCTCCCTTATCCTTCTTTTTCCTGTGAATGAGAACACATTGGTGAGACGACATCCTGAGCATACGTGACTTTTAACTTTGTCATTGCTGTGGCATTACCTGAAGCCTTAAGACTGGCCTGGATGTGATGAAGGCATGCATTACCAATGTCAGTGATTTCAAGCATCACATTGGTACCATGTTCAATGTTCCTCTGCACCTACCCCTACCCTGCACTTACTTGTTCCCTCCAACCTTGCCATTTGCCGTTGCTCCTTGATTGGCGGATGGTTCTCCACTCATTGCAAAATTTTGACAGTAAAATCGGTTGATCAGAAGGCGACAAACCGAAGGGGGTTATACTGAGTCGCCAGAAACAGCCCAGGCACGACTACAGTTGGGCAAACTAGGCGGCGGGAATCAAAATATGGAGGCATCAAAATATTGATTCTAGTGGGCGGAGCTTTGACCATATATGGGCATACGTGCAGACCATCACAGAAACGTCAATTCTTCAGCAACCGGCTATAATTTCAAGATAATTTTTTCACAAAATGAAGAACAATGTTGAAGCTACCCGCCAGGCACGAAACAATAGCCCTAACCTCTTTGGTTAGTTTAGGAAAGCGTCTTGAAAATAATCAAGATATTGATTCATCACGGCGGCTTATCCCGGCGAGAATCAATATTTTGATTCTGCAAACAGCTGGCTAATCATTATTTTGATTCTGAAATCAGCTGGCTTATCAATATATTGATTCTGCGATCTGACTTTCTGCAGACGTAGTTCACTCTTCAAATTGATTTATGGAATGTTTCTTGCGTGCAAATAATGCAAATTCAATAAATTCATGAAGATATTATCAGCACAGGATCGTGTAATTTTTTCTAGACCTTATTCCCACGGTAGACCAGGGATTTTCAGCACTCACCCTGGCTCCCTGCTCAAAGCTGCAAGCCTTCGAGGGAATGCGTGAAGGGAGCCGTGCTGACCTTTGAATAGGGGTTGTACACCCTGGGTTGTACTGAGTCGGAGCCGGAACCGAAGCCCGACCAAGCCCGACCATTTTACTCGGAGCCGGAGCCGGAGCTGGAGCCGATTTTTTCCTCCGGAGCCGAAGCCGTCTGACATTCTCACGACTCTACATCCCTGCTTTGTAGCATTGATTTTGAGTAAAGGGCTGCGGTCATAGCCTAGTTGTCACATTAGGCGCCAGAAACATACACAGTAGCATAGACCGAAGTCACAATAGCGTGCCGCTGAGGCGACTGCGGACAGATATGAGTGTCACTGGCTGTGACTGCGGCGAGTGTCCCGAGCCGTGGATCTCCCCGGTGCACGATACCTGTGAGTGCAACGATGATGGCGGCGCTGTCCATGGTAAAAACCGGGTAAGGTGTTTCACACGACTCGATTCGACGCTGTCAGGATGATTGGGGTAGCCAATGGCGCTAGTTGCCACGTTCGTCGCTCTAACTTATCGTCTTTCACGTGTTCATGAATGTGTTTCTACGCATCTGTATCCCGTCCCATTTCTGTGGAGTACAGTAAGAGATATTTCGCCGAAGAATATACTCAAGCCCGTTGCACAAATTGCACAATTTGAATGATAATATGATACACGGATGTATTTACAGTCGCAAATAATACGATGATATTCATAACATATTTCACAACGATCCCTGCAATTGCCACACATTTGCCATCACAAAGCCCTGTCGTTGATGCTCACATCCCATGCAAAGCAATACTCACTTTTAGGACACGTCTCTTATTCAATATGGCTACGTATTTGCAAAACATGCAGTTAATAATATTTGAAACTGAGACCTAACCAATAAGACATACCGTGGACAGGTAAGAAAAAACAAATAAACGTCTGGAGAATGACCTCAACGTCTTGATGTTGCCTAATTACAAAGAGCCATTTTCGGTTTCGAATCAAATACATGAAATAAATATAAACAAAATTTGTACAGATACACTCAATATAGGGTTTATGATTAGCACGGCTACCTAAAACATCAATCCTGTCAGGTTGAGCCACTTATGTCCACACCCAAAGCAGGTCGCTTTGGAACACCACAAGATCCCATATTACCACCGAAAACGGTCACCAAGTGGTCTACTGATCAGCATCTTCAGAACATTCTCGACCGAAAAGCTATCAGTCCTGTCTGTGTTTTGGTTCGCTTCATTTGGGCTATGCGCACGTTTTTCTATTCCGGTTCTAGGGACGAGATAGCAGTCATCACGCGCTGCACCAGCTCGTTCTTTGACAGGTTGGTGACGCTGTCGTCATCCGGCAGGATAAACACGTGGCGCATTTCACCCTCGGCCCCGCCAGCCACATACACACTTCCTTGATGATGATGATGAATTGGGGTTTTTAGGCGCCCGGACTACAGTGGTCATCGGCGCCCATATACACACTTCCTTACGTCATATTGTTTCTCGCAACGAGATTAAAGTTCAAAAGGTCGTGATGTAGGTAGTCTCCGCCCAGCCCGAGTCAGGTACTCCACCGGTTGGTCGGGTGCGGCCAGGTCCGCGTAACGCCGCCCTACTTCGGTCGACGCTCTGGTTGACAGGGATGGCGTTGTCATACAGTTGCCTGTCGACTGAACAGCGATTCAAGACGCCATCCTTGACCCTCTGAAGCTAATCCCCGCAACAACCAGTGTTCGATCCTTGGTTGACCTGCAGCAAACAACAGAACACAATAATTAGGACATTTGTGGACAATAAATTAGGAAACTTTGTGTTATTATTCTACTTGTTCAGCAACTATTAATTTTAAAATATACTCAATAAAAAATTAAGTACTTAATGTCACTTAAATTTCCACTGAACTCCACCAGGTGCGCCAACAACTGTCATCTCATGCAGTTATATAAATTCTGCCAAAAAAGTAGATCTGAGGCCAGTTGTACCAACAGAAAAATAGGTGGCTGCTGGATTTTTTTTTGTCTAAAAGTTACTTCACATACAGAGCATGAACGGTACAGCCCTATCCGTTTACGTGCCCATCATGTTAACGCTCCATATGTGAAGCAGTCTTAAGGCAAAAAAATTCCAGCAGGCAGCTATTTGTGTTGATAAAACTGGCCTCTAAAATTAACTTTGGCATGGACAATCCTGAACATTAACTATCCAGCATTCCCTGGACTGACGTACATTAGACACATAATTTTCTGGAAGATCACGCATAATGTAAATATGGCTTACACCATTCAGCAACTTGCTTTTGTTACACTTAAAATAAGCATCATTAAATAAGTAGCAAAAATGGGCGAAGCAATTACAAGCCAAGCTTACATACCTACTATTTAGATAAGGCACACACGAACATGCACTACAACCTTTCAATCTTAACTCGGAACAAGTCAATAACCTAGTTGCCCTTAAATTCAAATGCTACAAATTAAAGTTGTAGCAACAATTGGGTGAGTGAGACACAAGCAGAGGCCAAAATATCCAAATTATGTAAAATACTGGACATGCACTGCCCCCATTTCATGAGTCCACCCAACAATTCTATCATGCGAGACAAAACATTAGGCTTCTTGTAACTAATTTATACCGTAACTTTTAAAGGACATCATATTTCACTGAAATACTACACCTAAGACATCATTTTCAAAAAAATAGAGCTTAAAAAGACAATAGAAGAGTGAGAAGGCGTCCCGCGCCGCTGACGTCGCTACCGCGCCATGTTCCTAAAACCATCTCTTAAAACGAGTTTTCGGTAAGAAACGTTAAGATCACATGCCTGAAATTGAAAAACACACTTCAAAGTATCTAAAAATATGATCCATTGTTACTTACACTTCAGAAAAGGTCGCTTAAACAAAATAAAACCGGGAGCACTACGTTGCACCCGAACACCCACGACGCCGGCGCGAAATGGCGGGAACCGGAAATCGTGGCTAGATACTAAGAAAAAGAATATTTCTTATAAATGAATTATACAACTAAATAACGCATTTTTTATTTTCTTTTAGACAAAATTATGAAAAAATTACAAAGGCTCGTCGTTAATGATAAACAGAGCAAGTTTTAACAGCACGTTTTTGTTGAATTATGGCGGCGAAATCTTTATGCCATTCGTAAAGGTACGCGCGACAAACGGCTGATAGCCATGCAGCGAAAAATTGAAGCCGGGAAGATTTTTGTATTGACTTGTCAAAAAATCTCGCCGTCATGGGGGTTATTTCCGCCGTAACGGGTCGTCTGAAGGTGGGAATGTCCCAAATTGAATCAAAATATTGATTCTATGCCCATATATGGTCAAAGCTCCGCCCACTAGAATCAATATTTTGATGCCTCCATATTTTGATTCCCGCCGCCTAGTTTGCCCAACTGACTATGCCTCTCCAACGAAACACCTTAGAATCTCAAAATATGTTTAATGCCGTTTGAACCCTTGGAATGCTTAACAGCAGATATAACTAGCGATATATCACAAACTGGGCGGAATTCCGGCGCGGACCACGCGTGCACAAAATGGCAAATGATAATCACGGTATATAGAGAACTATGATAATGATAATAATGGCGCACATCCCATTCACGAACGCAGACATTAATTGCTACCATATTCTGCCAATGAATGCTGCCACATTTGATCAGAAAGAAAAATCCCTTTATCTGAACGAAGGTATTCCACGTATTCCACGGATTGTGAACAGTACCTATTTGTTTTCAATATAATCATGTGTGGGGCAGGCTGTTCTTCCTTTCCTCCATTCCGTAACCTCCGTTCTGAAATGTGTCTCCTATTCTATCCCAACCGCTGATTCCTCTCCCCAGTCGGCAGGCCCCCGTTCCATAATAGGCGGTAGGCCTAGTTCGGAGCACGGCCGCTAGCCCGGGTGGTGTTTCACCGGTCTCACCGATGATAGTGGTTGGATAGTGGCACGCAACTACTACTACTACTACTAGTAGTAGTACACGTGTCAAATTGGGTTTCCATGGAGACGTCAACAAGCCCATTGCTCCAACACTACCACAAGTGTGACGTCAGCTCGCGAAATGGAATAGCAGCGTGCCGTGAAACACCGCCCCGGTCCCGTCCCGATCCGGTGAGCTACCGTGCACCTCGGAGCACAAAAAGTATCAATTAAAAAGATTGATTGTGCGGACACGATGACGGACGCATCGGAAAGATGTGGGCAACATTGCTGAAATCCGGCGCAATCTGCATCACCAAATAAAAAGTTGTCGTGCGTGTCTCGCCTTGGCTTCATACCGCATCATCGCGACCGAACAGTTGGTGTGCGCCTGGCTTGGTCCGAGAAAGCCAGCCAGCCAGGGTCCCTCGGGGCCGTAGTTGCCGATCGGGACGTAGCTTTATGTAGCTAACCAAGATACGTTGCCTGTCACAAACAATTTCCGACTGTTTAAAGTCCTTTCTCATCCAAGAGCAGGTTCTACCCTATAGTCCTGAAGGATTCAAAAAGCCTTTCACACATGAGGTAATCTAGAGCATCTGTGTGCTGACCTTGCTACCCACCACAAATGAGACCAACATCAAATCCACCCAATATCGAGGAGCCTTCACCAAAACTCACAACTCAAAACTTGTGTTTCTGTATGGCAATCGGCGGCCTACCTGATATGTATTCATCATCGTGACTTATACATCGGAAATAGCAAGGCACCGACACTTAAGAACCGTAGCGGAAGGCCTATGACAACACCCTAACAAATGGTTCCGCTAGAAAACACAAAGCACGGCATCCGTGCCCTCGCA